TACTACACTTATTGGTATCATAATTGTTGGTACGACGACTACTTCTACTATTATTACTACTACTGCTCCAGCTACCACTACTACTACTACTACTACTACTACGACTACTACTACTACTACTACTACTACTACTACTACTAATAGTACGGCTGTTCCTGCTACGACAACGTCTACGACGACGACGACGACGACGACTAGTGCCACTACCAATCCATCCAGCCAGTACTACTGCTACGGCTACTACTACTACTGCCGTTGCTGCTGCTACCAACACCACTGCCACCACGGACGCTACCATGGTTACTGCGGCGACTATCACTCCTACTACTACTGCTACTCCTACTACGACTACTACTACTTTTCACTTGTACGACTACTAGTGTTATTGTTAGTACTACTACTACTACTACTACTACTACTACTACAACTACAACAACAACAACTACTACGACTACTACTACTACCACTACTACTACTACTACTACTACTACTACTACTACTACTACGACTACTACTACTACTACTACTACTACTTCTACTCCTACTACTACTACTACTACTACTACTACGAACACGATTGCTACTACTACTGCTACTACTGCTACCACTATGAGAACGGCTACGACAATGATCACTATTACTACTACTCCTACTACTACTACTACTACTACTACTACTACGACGACGACTGGTAGTGATTTTTTCTACTACTGCTACTTCTGCTAGTACCACTACAAGTTGTTTCGCTAGTATTCCTGCTACACTGCTACGATTCGTTCCTTCCTGCTTCGTTTTCTCATCTCCAGCACCCGCCCCTCCTCCCCCGTGCCTTGCCCCTTTGAAAGCTTCGTACCCCTGGGGGTGGTTTTCAACGGAAGCTGCCCACCATGAGCTCCTCCTATACACGTGCGTTTGAGAACAACGAGGGGGCATGTAGCTGACATTGCGAAAGCATTGGTCCCCAAGTTGCTGCCAACACGGGAGTAAACCAATATATTAGATTATAAGGAGAATGCCCTTCCACCGATGTTATTCTTATGATTACGACTACGCTTGCTCCTGCGATTACGGCGGTTTCTATTCTTAATATTGCGACTATTCCTGCCAATGCGCCTACTACTGCTACGACTACTACTACTACGACCACTACGACTACCACCCCTACTACTACTATTGCTACAACTACTTCTACGATTGCCACGACCACTCCCATTATTATTACTACTACTACGGCTACTACTACTACTACTACTACTACTACTACCACTACTGCTACTACTACTACTACGACTACTACTCTTACTACGACTACTACTACTACAATTACCACTACTACTACTACTACTACTACTACTACCACTACGACTACTACTACTATTACTACTACTACTACTACTATTACTACTAGCTCTACTTAATATTAGCCCTCTTGGTACCATACCTAGCCCTATTGCTGCCACTGGTACTACGAGGGCGACGACGACGACGAGTACTGCTGCGACTACTACTACTACTACTACTACTATTACTACTACTACTACTACTACTACTACTACTACCACTACGGCTACAACTATTACCCCTGTTGCTACTATTGCGGCTACCACTACTATTTCCACCACGATTATTTTTATTCATATTACTACTACTACTACTACTACTACTACTACTACTACCAGTAGTACTTCCACTACTAGGACTGCTACGACTAGTATTACTATGATTTCTACTAGTACTGCTGCTACTACTACTGCGACGACGACTACTACTACTACTTCTACTATTACTACTACTGCTGCTGCTACTGCGACCACTACGGCTACTACTACTACTACCACTACAACTGCTAGCGTTACGGCGACTACTTCTACTACTTCTACTACTGCTATCACCACTACTACTACTACGCGCTATCATAACTACTACGTCTACTATTGCTGCTGCTGCTGTTGCTACTGCTGCTGTTGCGGCGACGATATGCTAGACATGTCACCACCACTACCATCACAACTACTACTGTCGCAACTACTACGGCGACTAGTGTTATTAGTATTACTGCTACTACGCTTAGTTGTGCTACAAATGCTACTTTCTACTGCGAGTACTGCTACTACGACCTACTACTACTATCTACACTTCTACTACGGATGCTGCTGCTACTACTAGGACTACTGCTACTACCACGACTACTGCGACTACCAGTTTTATTATTCCTACCACGACTACTACGATTGCGAATGTACTCTATAGTAACACTACTACTGCTGCTTCTACGACTATTACTACCACTACGACTTCTACAAGTATCACATTTACTGCACATGCGACGGCTACTACGATTTCTCTTACTACTATTACTTCTGCTACCACTACTACTATCACGACGGCGAGTACTTCTACTACCACTACTCCTACTAGCTATACTTCTAGTACGAGTACCAATTCTACTTCTACGGCGACGGCGACGCCAACGACTATGCATGTCACGGCGGCGAGTAGT